ATTTCAATCACTTTTAGTCTTTGAAATATTTTTTATATTAACTATTTATGTAGAAAAAAAGATACATAATTATGTATTTATTAAAATTCTTATTCATGTCCAGAAATAGATAGTAATCACTACTTTACAAGTAACTACTTTTCTATAATTTTAATGGAAACAGTTCAATTTATATCACTATTAGAAAATAAAAAAAATATTTCAACTTAATGAATAGGTGCACATTATGTCCATGTCTATCACTTCATTGTAGATCTTGGAAGACTGTTATTTATGAGAAAATTGAATATATCATCCGATACATCTAATACCAAACATGGTTCATATTAATGCCTAAATCAATTGCACAATTAAGTATACATAATAGATAAAAGTAAGAACGTTCTGTGATACCAATTCAGAGAATCTTTCTTTTGTTCTTCTCTCAGCTTACCTCTTCAACTTCCCTTGGAAACTTGATAGGCCTGAGCTTGTAAAGAAGCGTGCATACATGGACGAAGTTGATGGCAACAAACAGAACATTCCAGAGAGCAGCGTCCAGCCAGCAAGCTATTGTCCAGCCCCACAAAGCAAGAAAGGCACAGCCCACGAGTAGAGTGCACCTTAAATAGAGTACACCATGTATGCCACTTGGTGCAAGGTGTGACAATAGAAAGAAGGCATTTGCTAGTTGAAAGTAGATGTGGTTCACAGAAATTCCTTGATAAGGTTGGCAGGTAAGAACTCCGTACAGAAAAGTTGGAGGCACTATCGGCGAATGTGGAGAACCAGATCCATGACTGACCACTGATAGACCAGTAGCTGCAAAATATTTTTATACATACTTATATATACATAAAGTATCACATCAGTTTTATGTTTGATTTTTAAAGAAACTATTAAATCATTCCAGAAAGGTAAAGTGCTAAAATATCATTTTCAACATATACACATGTACATACCCGCTCTATTATCAGTGGTCACATTCCTACATTCGTCGTTTTCATGATGTGTTGAAATTGGTAGTGATACTTCTGATGTGACAGTATTATGAGGAACATTAGATGCAGCTGCATTCGTTAAGCTGGCATCAATACCAAAATATGTCCCAGAGAAGAATACAAGGAATAAAATAGAAGCACGCCAGCCTTCTCGGCTTCCTATAGGATCAAAACAGATCCACATCCCAGCATCACCACCAAACTAAATCAATTTCGTCTTACTCTGTAACATCAAAACAAATGTTTTTCAACTCTTAAAACACAATGAAATGTGTTCAACTCATTGCACAGATGAAGTATATATAAACTGATCGCTGCATACTTATTCATAGAAGATATTAAAAGTGAATGCTATGTGTCACTCGCAAATGTCCTATCATCGTTCACATTCTACTCTCAGCTAAAATTAGAGCTTGAAGACAAATACCATCTTGTAGATTTCAAATTGAGGAAGGGTATTTGCATTACCAACAGCTGCGGGAAGACTATAGAAACATCTGTAATCCAAATACACACAACATGACACATGCTCTCTTTGTATATATTTTTCCTACCGTTTGCTTGAAGCAAATTGTATACATTTGAATTTAATATCTCGAATAATAAGCGAATCGCTTAACAAGAAGATTATCTGACGGGTTACATCGGTACTTTTTATTGACATGACAGAATTGTTAACCAAAGATATTGAAGTACGATCAAACATGAGAATACAAATTTCATCGTCACTTACAAATATCTGAACTGTTAAAAGCTAAAATTTCACAATATACACAGCTATACAACGATTGATTACGTTTAAATTCGTTGTCGGATATATTAAAGCACGTTGCAAAGTATCGTATCGAAATCAATAAATAACTTACTCATGGAAAATTTGGAAAGATGAGAGCGTACGCAAGGCATACAGATGAAAAAATCAACGGTGACGTCGAGTGATATGATAGTTGAAATAAACTGAACTCGTACACGAAAACGAAACAAACTTGCTTATCTAATGAACGTCAAACTAGCAGAAAGACGTTACTCTAGCAAGGACAAGTACAGGCAACGGTGTGGAGAACTGGGAAGCAGAAAGGGGATAAAATAGGCCACGCGGCCCCTAATTTAAGGTTCGTTCGAAAATTGACTAGCAAAAACTAACATGACACGCGAAAAATTACAGACCACATAGCTCTTATACTGCGACAGATTATCTATAGCCTGGAAATGTATAAGACGGCTAATCAAATGTAACGAAATCCCCCACGCGTTTTCTTTGAAATTCAAAGTTTTTACAAATATGAATGAGCGATCAATCTGCATCTTCATTCATGCGTAACCGTTCGTTATTTATCGACGCTCAGCGAAACTTATGCATGCAATTAACATGACGTATTTCAGTTAATTTGCATTAATTGCCTATCGTATACTATTCTTCCTGAATGTTAATTACAAACGATCAGCTTTTCACGAAATGACGAGTCATTCTGAATAATGCAATTTTAATTTGTTCATTATTTGAATAAGAAGTAACTTATATTGTCGTTTTATAATTTTGACGAAAGATTTTAATGTGAACAGTGTGCAATATGCTAAGACAATTGTAAATTTTTTGAACGGCTTGAACTATAGGCACGTGTATGTAATGCCGATTTAAATAAACTTAAACAATACAAATATTTAATTGACGTACAATTTTTCCTTTTTCTAGTTTTTTCTTCTACTCATCGGTTGAGGGAAAATGGCAACGGAAAAGGATTTAATTAACGGTAAAAAATGTTTTATATAGCATATATAAATAATATAAATTTCATATGCAGTAGAAGTTATGTTACATAAAATATATATTTATTTATAAACTTTTACAAATTTATTTATTTATTAATCAAGTGACAAGTAAAACAGTTAGAAGACATAGCAAAGTCTCAATCTATAATTTATAAAGTTGACATAATTTACATGTATTATAGGAGTCATTTTTAATTTAAATTATTTCTTTTATTACTACAGCTGTAAGGGAATCACTGATGAACCATGGAGAACTATCTCGTATAAAAGCTGAAATGCATACAAAGATCATACAGATATTGGATAATTCAAATAATGGAAGCAAACAAAAATTACCAAAACCAACTCAAGATATTGCACTTTTGAATGAACTTATACGGGAGTATTTAGACTGGATGGGATACAAATACAGCTCCACCGTTTTCATGTCAGGTATTAAAACATATATTCCATGTAATGTACAATAATACAAATGAATATTTATAAAATAAGACATGTAAAGAAATGGTATTTTTCAGAATGTAACTTGTCAAAGCATCCCCTGGATAGATTTTTACTTGCCCAGAATTTAGGAGTAATAGAAAATGAGAATGGTACAGAATTACCATTGCTTTGCAATATTTTGGATACAGTAAAGACTATGAGAAGTGCGTGAAGATTATGATAAATTATTCTCTGACAGTTAATATAAAT